GTGACTAACCCTGTGCTGCCCCTCCTCCCTTGGTTGGTAGGGGTATTATTGTTTAGCAGCAGGAGGGACTGGGATGGATCCTCAGCACCGAATCAACCAGGTGTGATGGTGCAGGTATGCAACCCTAGAACTCAGGAGGTGGAGGCAGGAGGATCAGAAGTTCAAGGCCAACCTTGATGTGTAGTAAGTTTGAGGTTAGCCTGTGCTATAGAAAATTCTGTCTCAAAAACAAACAAGACCAACAAAAGCAAAGAAAAATGTAATATTTTCAGGACTATATACACTTGTCAAAACTCACTAGAAATGTATTTTACTATATGTAAATTATATACTATTTTTTTAAGGGAAACAAAACCCAGGTTCCGTCACTCCTCCTTACAAACCTGCATGATGACCTCTCCATCAGATTTCTTCCAACTGGCCTTGACCTTTCAGTGGGTCAGGAAAAGAACCGGCCATCAGAGCCAACATCGTTCTGTTTTATTTTACTTTTGAGACAGAGTCCTGCTGTAAAGCCAGGTTTTACAACAATCCTTTTTCCCCAGGATTGTGATTACATGGGTTTCACCACACCTGGCTTCAAGGTCGTTGCCAGCATTACTACTGTTTTGGTTTGTGATAGGGTCTTACTCTGTAGCCCAGGCTGACTCTAAACTCAATTTGACTGCTGAAATCCTATGCCTGAGCAAACACACTTGACACCACTACCCCTACCACCACCATCATCATCGAGACAGGATAAGCAGAAATTGGAATCAGCTATGTAGCTCTGGCTTGCCCGGAGCTCATAGAGATCTGCCTGCCTCTACCTCCCAAGTGCTAGGATGGCGCCAGCATTATTTTTAACCAAAGTAAAATACACAAGTGCATATTTTTATAGTTTGCTTCACTTCTATTTTATACATGCATGCTGGCACTGGATTGCTGAATAAAACTTTTCCTACAGTTGGAAATAAATAAGAATTCAAGGCCAGCCAGGTGTGGTGGTGCATGCTCTTAATACCAGCACTTGAGAGGTAGAGGCTGGCAGATCTTTGAGTTCGAGGCCAGCCTGTGAGTTCCAGGACTACACAGAGAAATCCTGTTTTGAAAAAACAAAACAAAACAACAACAAAAACCGAACAAACAAAAATGCAAGGCCACTGCTAGGCATGGGCTGTCCCGGCCTCTGCTCCCCTTGACTGTGACTTAGTTTCCTCTATCCTACTGCAGGCTTCCTTAATGCTTACAACTGCTGTGCCATTCCTGGCATTCTCCCGCCCAGGGCCTTTGCACTTCTGCCACGAACAGAACATTCTTCCTTTACTTCTCACTTGCTTTACTTCTCATCTCTAATGTCAGTTCCTAGGGAGAGGCTTTCCTGATTGGCATGCTTAAAATAGCTGTGTTCCCAGCTTCCCCGAATCTCTGCCTCACTTTCTTTTTTTCTGCACAGTTCTTGTGACTCTCCATGATGTGTTTGTTTATCTGTTCACTTCCCTACACTGGAATGCAAGCGCCATGTGGTAAGGATTGTGTTGGTTTTATTTGCTGCTGCACCCTGGTGCCAAAATGTTTACACACAGTTGGATGTATGTTGTCCCTGTCTTCAAGCACCAGGCAGCCTGACTGAGACTGTTTCTTGTGCAGCTCTGTAAATGATAGAGTGCTGGCAGCCATGTTCAGCATTTGCTAAGGGGAACCGGCACAGCTGAGGGCCCCTGGGGCCTCATGTGCTTGGTGAGGCCTGTTGTTCCCCTGGAACCTGCTGCTCTCTGGAATCCTCCCAAGTAGCCTTTCCACACTCTAGAAGATTACTCTAGAAGGCTACCCCCAGGGAACCCCCATTCCCTCTGGGGACTCTAACATCCCCCATAGAGCTCAGGCTCTATGCAGGCTGAAATGCTTTGTGGGTCCAGTTGTAGCAAAACAAATCAGTGCAGCCATAGGGCTGCTAGCTTCCTACAGCAGAAGATGGGGCTTGCTGCATGGAGGCTGCCCTGGTTGGGAAGTCAGCCTTGCCAGGACCACTCTCTTACTGTGTAAGAACCAGGAAGAGAAGATGAAGTCTCTGCAAATGTGACTATTCTAGTCCTGATTACCCAGGCTCAACCACTGAGAGCTCATGAAACCATGAATGACAACTCCATTCCCTAGACAGGACACCGAGGACCAGGCAGGAGAAATACCCCTGAAGTCACATAGCATGCCGGGGCTTCATTCCACAGCCTCCAATCAGAAGCCTGAGCCTTTGGAAGCTAGCAGAGGCCACCTGAGCAGGCCTAGGCCAGGCCACAGAACTGGAGCCTGGTATGTACAAGGCAAGGGGGTGGTGCCTTTGAAGCCAAGGCTGCATTTGAGGAACCCTGAAAATTTAGACTTGTTGGACGCCTTAACAGGTACAGAGAGATTTGGAAGAGGGGAAGGAAGGATGGGTTGTTTCCAAGTAGGACAATTTGTTGGGGGAAACAACAGTCTAGTTGATGTGCTCTGAGAAATGGGAGAGAATAGGCCTTTTTTAGGGCAGTCCCAGTGCAACCTAGGAAATTTATATCCAGATCTCCACAAAGGTATTGTTGATATCAAATCTGATAGAAAGCTCATATACTGCTCATCTGCCTGTTTGAAAATCCACCTATCTGTCTATCTATCTATATCTATCTATCTATCTATCTATCTATCTATCTAACCTCTGAAGGTCAAATGCTTTCTCTGGGAGACATGTGACCAACCACTTCACCCAGAATACACACACACACACACACACACACACACACACACACACACACACATATATATATATATATATATGCACACACACACACACACTTAGCTATCTACATATATATATATGATGCTATTTTAGGATACAGAAGCTCCCAGTTGACTGAGTCCCTTTGGGGATGCTGGGGAATGGGAAACAAGCACAGGGCCTGGGAAAATGGGCCATCAAAGCTGCCTGACCATTCAGCTAGCCATGGAGAAGGGATAAGAGGGCCACAGGGTCACAGTGGATGGCTAAATATAGGGACACTAGAGGTGGAAGTAGTTCCTGCCAGCAGCAGGGGGCATACAGTTCCTTCTAGGGGTGGGACCAGGATGCTGGGGACCAGGGTGGATAGGTCTCAAAGTGCCACATTGTCTTGGGCTAGACCAGACACATAGAGGTCCTGGGTCTGGACTCATGGCCAGGGTGATCATGATCACTGTGCATGGTTCCCAGTCTCTGCTCTGTCCAATCTATTTTTAGAGTTCAGGCTTGGAGGAGTGTCCTCTGAGGACCAGAGGGTTTCTCTGGGAGGCACATGTGTCAGTGTTGGACTGCCTGTAGGTGAATGAAATAAGGTTTTGCCCAGAACACCAGTATTTTCCCCACTTGCCTTCAAGGCCCCGGGGAAGGCAAGTTACCTGTTGTTTTGTTGCTCTACCCTTGAGGTATGTGGGCCAGAGTCTGGTCTAGACTATGTGTTTACTGCAGATCAGAATGCATTACTCAGAGCATCAAATCAGGTGTTATGTAGTGAAATCCTGGGGCTGGCTATTAAAGAACAGAGAAAACCCTGAGCCAATCCACTGGAGGATGACATGTCAGGTAAAGACTCAAGAGTATGTGATGGGTTCAGAGAGATCTTGAACCTAAATGGGAGCCATGTATGAGAAAGGCTGGCAGAGATCAAATGTGGCCAATGACTCTGTTGCATAGCCTGGAAGCATCTAAAAGGATGAATGTGCAATTTATTCTTCTTGGAGATAGGGTTTCACAATGTGTACCTCTGGTTGGGCTGGAACTCAATATGCACAGCAGACTTCAAATTCAGAGAACCACCTTCCTCTGCCTCCTGAGTTCTGGGATTAAAGGCATGTGTCACTACACCCAATCCCAACCCTTTTAGAAAAAAGCTCTAAAACTTTTACTTATATATATCTTCATAAAAAGGAATTATTTAAGCTCTACTAATATTTAAGATATCTGTGATCACTGGTAACCTCAACTTTTTTTTTTTTTTTTGATACAGGGTTTCCCTGTGTAGTCTCAGCTGTCCTGGAATTCACTATGTAGATCAGGCTGGCCTCAAACTCACAGAGATCCACCTGCCTCTGCCTCCCAAGGGAAGGGATTAAAGGCATGCACCACCACTGCTCAGCCTGGTAACCTCATTTCATCCATGTTGTAGTTGGCCACATGTCCCTTCTCACAAGCATCATAGCTTTGGCTTTTCTGAGACACCTCCACTTGATAAGCATGACACAAGATGTCACAGAGACACTAATTTTATAAAGGCAAATGGTCAAATTTCTGTGGAACTTATCGGCAGAAACACAGTCACAACAGCGCACGCTGACTGTCTCACAGCAAAGAGCTCCAGGGACAGACAATCTTGAAGGTGAGGATGCCATTTCCACTTGTGAAAAGACAATGACACCTCTGCATTGGCTCCTTCAGTGGTGCCAGAGGACGCCATCTATCAGACATTACAACAACACAAACTCAGCATCTTTTGGTCAGGGCACAGATGGCTGGGTGAGAATTCACACAGACTACAGGAGCACTTTGTCAAGCTGAGCTTCACTGAGCCACTTGACATGATTCTGTTGTTAGAGTGGTGGCCTGTCACCCCTGTCACAGCAGCTCATAGGAAAACAGGGAAATAGACCTCTATAGCTTATTTTGAAGATTTATTTGTTTGTTTAATGTCTATGATGTTTGCCTGAATGTATGTCAGTGTTCACAGAGGCCAGAAGAGGGCTTTGAATCCCCATTGGAATAGAGTTATAGATAGCTGTGAACTGTTTTGTGGGTGCTTGGAATTGAACTCGGGTCTTCTAGAAAATCAACCACTGCTCTAAGCCACTGAGTCATCTCCGTAGCCCAGAAGATTTATGTATTTATTTATACATACATACATATATACATACATACATACATTGAGACAGGGTCTCTCTATGTAATCCTGGATGGCCTCAAACTCACAGAGATCCTTCTGCCTCTGCCTCCCGAGTGCTGGGATTTAATGTGTGTGCCACCACCCCCTGTACATTCTTTTTACTATTTTTAGTTTTGTGTATGTATGTGGTTGTGCTTATGAGTTCAGAAGAGGGCATTAGATCCCCTGGAGCTGGAGTTTCAGTAGATGGCTATGAACCATCCAACATGGCTGCTAGGAGCCCAAACTGAATAGTAGGTGCTCTTACCTGCTGAGCCATCGTTCCAGTTCCCTCTAGACTATTTGAAATCTGAAAGAGTTTTAGTGTGTCTTGAATGAATTTTTCAAAAATATTTAAAATGGTAAACTTTCTGATACGTATCCAGTAACAATTGATTGACATCAGCTATATAAAAGAAAATTTAAAAACCTGTGCCCAGAATTGAAAATTGTGCCTGTGAACATGTCTCCTAGCATTATGGCTCTTGGGATGTACCTTTCTCAGACATAATAGCATCAAACCAGGCACTAAGACATTCGTGGTATAACACACCGGTCATACCAGCACAACCTACAAAGGAGAAAGGAGAGTTCAAGGACCAACGGGCTACATAGTGAGACATTCTCTCAAAAGAAAGAAAACACAGACCAATGAAACCAAACGAAAAGATAAATGGAATTTAGTACTAGATTTTCAAATGAGTGAACCGTATCTTTCAACCAAGATGGTATTTAAAAAGGAAGCATGTGGGCAGGGCAGGTGATGACGAGACGGCTCAGAAGGGAAATAAATTCGCTCAAAAGCCCAACCTGAGATGAATCCCCGGAACTGCAGTGGAAGGAGAGAACCGACTCCTCGAAGCTGTCCTCTGACCTCCACAAGAGTGTAAATAAATATAAATAAATAAATAAATGAAACAAAGCAAATTTTAGTAGTAATGTATCAAGTCAAAAGAAAATGCTTTCTATTACTACAGAATCAAAATGAAAATAAAGCCAAAATAATATTCATTCTCTCACTCATGTCTATTTTTATGCATACAGGTATTTTATAGTTCATTCAACATGTCTGCCTGGCAGCATATGTATATCATTTATTGCTCCTTTTGTTTTTTGTTTTTTTGGTAGCTCAGACTAGCTTTGACTTGCTGAATGGATGAGTGTGTGCCATGTGCTTGCCATATAATTTCTACATAAAAAGATAATGTGACTAGTTGACGCACACACATTTTCTTTAGCATCAGGAGAACAAGTTTCATCTGTGGCCAAGAGCGATGTGGGGGAAAGAAACAAGAAGGAAGGATCTACCTGAGGCCACTTCTGGGGCTGTGGAGCTAGGCAGTGGTCCAGGCCAGACTCAGGAAAGGCCTGAGGTGAGCCTGAGCTGAGGACAGGGAGGAGTCATGCAGCTGCTTTCTGAAGAAGGGAGAACAGGCTACTGCAACTGCTGGATGAAGCTGGCATCTGAACTCACTTGTGGTAAGGGACAAGAGGAGGTGGGATGCCACTTGTGGGTGTATTGAGCAGGCTTTGCTGTCACGTTGTCTTCAACCCTCGGCCTGCAAATTATTGGGAACAAGTTAGTAAGCCTTCCTGAACCTCAGTTTCGTCACCTGACAAAGAGGAAAAGGGTGTGTGTGGCAGGCTGGGCCCCTAATTATGAGCATATCTGAGACAGGACTTTGTTTTTTCTATAATGTAATTCTTTACTGATTCTTTGGGAATTTCACATCATACATCCCAATCCTGCTCACCTCCCAGTCCCTCCAAACCCTCCCCTCACGCTGCAGCATCTCCCCCAAAGAAACTACCCCCAAAGTCAATTAAAAACAAAACAAAACCCAGGAAACCCCACCTCACTCCTCTGTTTTTCTAGCACCTCTTCATTTATCCTACTGGCACTGGGAACTGCAGTGTGTCATGCAGTATACCCTTTTGTCCAATCAGCCCCACCACAAATGTTCATTGTAATGAGTCATTGGTTTGGTTCAAGGCCTCTGGACCTTGAACCAACCATCATCAAGGACCCTCACTGAAACTCCTCTCGGATATCCTGCTGTTGTTATGAGTCATGGGGATCCTGTGGCTATCCTTCTGCAGGAGCAGGCCCTTCACACACTCTAGCAGGTCACAGATGGGATAGATGTTAGGGTCGGTCAACCTGAGGCCCAACATGAGGGTCTGAGTGGTAGCTGAGATGATTGATCCAGGACACTGGGACTGCCCCCCTTAGCAAGGGGCAGAGCTAGCTCTTCTACTCCCATGCTGAGGGGTGGGGCCATCTCTCCTGAGGGCAGGGACCAGCTCTCCCATGGGAGGCAGGACCAGCTCTCCTGCTGCAGTGTCCAGCCAGGGACAGGGCCAGCTATCCCAAAGCCAGTGAGGGTGGGGCTGGCTCAACATGGCCCTCAGATTTTAATACAGATGGTTTGTATGTCCCCTGTGCTAACACGGGCTATGGATATCATCACACACCCCAGCTGCAGCAGGAACGTGGACCCAGGCATGGCCCTCAGCAGCAGCTCAAACCTGTACATCACCATGCTTCTGGTGGCAGCACAGGCCACCCAGATCAGTATGGCCAGATAGCAGCAAGGCCCTTGGACACCAACATGATCTCTGGTGGCTGTCCATATCCTGGGCCTCTGCACAGCCTTCAGTGGTAACAGGAACTGTGGACATCAGCTCACACCCTGGTTGCTGCTGGACCACAGATCCAGACATGGTCCTAGGCAGCAGCCCAGGCCCGACAACACCATGGCCACATGTAGCATCATAGGCCACGCAGATCAGTATGGCTCTAGCAGCAGCAAGACCTTCAGACCAACATGTCCCCAGGTGGCAGCTCAGACCCCTGGCACCGGCATGGTCTTTGATGGTACCAGGAGCCACAAGCCACAGACAACACAGACCCTGGCTGTGGTAGAGCCATGGACCCAGACATGGCTCTATACTGCAGCCTATGCCTGGATGTCACCATGGCCCTGGGTGTCAGCACAGGCCTGGACACTAACAAGAACTCAAGTGTCTGATTAGACCCTGGTCATCTGCACGGCCTTCCATGGTTACTGAAGCCATGGACATCAGCACAGACCCTGGCTGCTACAGGACCATGAACCCAGACATGGCATCAGACCCCAGGCATCACCATAGACTTGGTGGTAGCATAGGTTATGAATGTCAACACAGACCCCAGCTGTGGTATGACTATAGCCCAGACATGATCCTAGGCAGCAGCCCAGGCCTGGATGTCATCCTGAGCCTGAGTGGCAAGAAGGCCACCCACGTCAGCCTGTTCCTCACCGCCTTGGCTTCTTCAGTTCCATCTCTTTCCACAGCACATGAACCGTTCTGTTTCTCTCCCTCCCATTTCTCTACCATATATGTGCTCATCCTAACAGCACCCACCCACACCACAAGGCACCAAATGAGCCCTTAGATGCCTTCAGGCAGCCTGGACTGTGAGACCCAGGCTGCCCTGTGGGTGTCTTTCACCTAAGGCAGTACCTTATTCTGCGTCTCTAAATGGACACCTGTAAGGAACAGAGGACGGCACATCCAGTGAAGCACCGAGGAATGCTTTGGGGGGCAGAGACTGAGCCTGGGACAATTGGGAAAGGTGGCCCAGGTAGAGGGAATGGCTTAGGCAGAACCACAGGACAAGAGACAGTTGGAATTTAGGGAAGTGAAATTCCTGAAGGACCTGGGAGATCACTGGACTCAGGAGGCTCAAGGCCTACTCCAGTCAGCTCAGGAGGACCTGAGAGTCAGCCCTACTGTCAGCCTTTGGAAGAGAGAAAGCCCTGAGGCAAGTCACTGGGCCAAAGAGCCACTGCTTCCCCAGGCTTATGAGAAGGGGCCCTGACTGGGGAAATAGGAATACATCTGGGTGACTTATAGACACACAATGGGGAGACTAGGGCCTAGAAAAAAGACAATTGTTTACCCCAGAGTACACTAGAAAATGGCAACCAGATGGGAAGGGTATGGCCCTTCCTCCAGGGTTTGAGATGTCCCCCACAAGGAGCTCTGGGTAGAGGACCCTTGGCTCTCTCACTGAGTATAGGAGTTTCCCAAGGGGTCCTGCTTCAAGGGACAAGCCTTCTGGCAGGACTGAGTCCAAGTTGTATTAGTGCAACCTCTCACTGATGGCTGGAAAGGGAGGGTCTTCGGTCACCTGGGCTGTTCAGAACAACTCCCGAAGCTCTCAACCTGATTCTGTGGGCATGAGGAAAACATGGGAGGTGCCCATGCTCTTCCTGACATTGCCCCAACTTGGTGGCCATGTCCTATCTGTGATAGGGATGTCCTAGACAGTAGGGGACAAGTAGTTTAGGTTCAGTTTAAGTTCAGTTTAAGTTTAGTTCAGTTTAAGTTTAGTTCAGTTTAAGTATAGGGCCACAACTAGAAAAATTGGCAGATGAGGACACACACACACACACACACACACACACACACACAGAGAGAGAGAGAGAGAGAGAGAGAGAGACAGAGACAGAGACAGAGACAGAGAGACAGAGAGAGGGAGAGAGAAAGAGAGAGGGAAAATTAGACACCCTGTCTGCTCTTTCCTCAATATTAAAATGTACATAAACACTTTCCCTGACTAACTTTCCCATCAGCCCCTCTGAGCCAGGAAGAGCTGCCCTGTGAGCAACTGGTGAGGGGTATCAGAAACCTCAGGTCTATTAGGTCTGCAGGTTGCTCTAGCAACAGGCTGTGTTGTGATGCTTCAGAGACCCAAGGGTCTGTTAGTCAGAGGTATGCAGGAAGGGTCATCATGTCCCCTCTAGCCCTGGAAGGCTTGGCAAGCTGGTCATGTCTGGGAATGGTCCAGGGACAGTCATTGTCTGGCTGCACAAGAATGCTTGGCCCAGAAGTAGTCCCTGTAGGGCTTTGGTCTGCTAACAAACATGATGGGGGCTTCAGGGAACCCATACCCTACTCTCCACAGGGGAAAAAGAGTCCCTACCTACCAATGAGAGAAGACCAAAGGGAGGATGCCAATACAGCTTTGACTCAGTCCTGTAAACAGGCTTCCCCCTTGAAGCAGGCCCCCCTCGGGAGGCTCCCATACTTAGCAGTGAGAGAGGGCTTCTTGTGGGGACATCTCAAAGCCTGGAGGAAAGGCCACACCCTTCCCATCTGGCTGCCATATTCTATTGTACTCTAAGGTAGACAAACACCCCTTTTCTGGGCTCTAGACTCCCCATTGTGTGTCCATTGGTTTCTCAGGAGATGCACTTCTACCTCCTAATCAGAGTTCTCACTTCCGTAAGCTTCCACTCAATCCAGCCTTGTGAGTTCCTTGCATGTCACTGTCTCCTCTTAGCATACATTGTCCTGTCTGCTGGGAATGCCCTATCCCATTGGCTGGCTGGCCTGTCATCTCCTGCTAACCTTTACCATCCTGGCTTCAGTATCCCCTATGACTGTAGCTGCTGTGGACCTGAGGACGAAGGTAGTAGAGGCCCTGCTCCACCCAGACCCTGTGAACAGACCTTTCTCAACTGTCAAGATTGGGGAGGGAGGACATAGGATCATCAAGATAGCTCAGTAGGGAAAGGCATTTGCCTTCATGCCTCACAACCTGAGTTTGATCCCTGGGACCCAAGTTGAAGAAGGAGAAAACTGATTTCAGAAACTTGTGTGGTGATATATTATTTATGATTTATTAAATCTTGCCTGAGGGTACAGAAAGCAAACCCAGCCACACTAGTTAGCTATAGAAAGCAGGCGGTGGTGATACACATCTTTAATCCCAGGACTCAGGATTAAGAAGCAGATGGATCTCTGAGTCCAAGACCACCCTGAGTTACAGGACCACTGTAATCAGAGCTCACATTTTTAATCCCAGGATTCGAGAGGTAAAAGTAGAGGCATTCAGTCTCAAGCTTAGTCTCTAGCCATGTTGAGGAGAACATAGCAGACTGAATGAATCTGAGGAGTAGTGAAGTCTGGAGCATCTGAAAATCGCCCCTTTGGTCTGAGCTGAGGTAGAGGTAAGAGCCAGTGGCTGACTGCTCTGCTTTTCTTATTTTCGGTTTGAAGCTTGAACCCCAATATCTGTCTCTTCTCCCTCTCCCTCCCCTTGTCTTTTATTTTTTGTGTTACACTTGTCCTCTGAGCTACACACACACACACACACACACACAAATAGTAGATAAAACAAATTTAACTTTTAAAAACAGATGGGGAGAATCACAGGGTTAATGCCCCAGTCAGTGGTCCTCTCCCTAAGTGTCCCCTTAACACACCTGACTGCTGTCTCCTTCCCTGCCAACTGGGGTTCCCCTGTTGAAGATGCTGTGTCAGAATGACCAGTGTTCACAGTCTCTGGGGAGCCACTTCTCTGCCTGTCTCGGTTCCTTCATGTAGAGGAAGAGACCAGTGACCTCACAAGGAGGAGGATTACAGCAGAGCTGGGTCCCATGCTTCTGGACACATTTAAGGAATTGTTATTTTTATTACTATTGTGGGTGTCTCTTGTGGCTTTTTTTGGTTGTTAGGTGAATAATCCCAGATGTGGGTCACACCCACTCCCATCACCCCTCCTGTGGGGTAGATGTGGGCCTGGGAGAACTCCACCCTGGGAGAACCTGCCTCTCATCTGAATGTCAGGAAGCCCAGGTCAAGCATAGCTGACAGTCTCTTGGCCCACCCCATCCCACGGGAGAGCTCAGAATAGATCCAGAAGCCCTTCCAGGAAGTGGCATCTAGCACAGGAGAAGGCAGACTGATGGATCTGGATCAGAGTCTCCCTTCTAGTCAGCCTGCCTCTTAAGGTGATGCGGAGCAGGTTGTGAGCTTCCTGAGTTGTGACCTCATCCTATAGTCTGCCTGGTCTTCCCAAATCAGAGCTGTCATGTGTGGCCCTGTGGTTCTACTCAAGCTGTTCCCCCTACCTGGGTCATCTTCCCCAATCTTCCTGGTTCACCTCCTGCCTCCAGAAGTGTTCCCAGATGCCCTGCTAGAAGGACCTTTTTTCTTTCTTTCTTTTTTTTTATTAGAAAGAAAATTATTGTACATGTCAATCCCAGGTCCCTCTCCCTCCCCTCCTCCCCTGTGCCCCCCCACCAACTAATGCCCTACCTATCCCATACCCTTTCTGCTCCTCAGGGAGGGTGAGGCCTTCCATAGGGGGTCTTCAGAGTCTGTCATATTCTGTGGGATAGGGCCTAGGCCCACCCCCTTGTATCTAGGCTCAGGGAGTATCCCTCCATGTGAGATCGGCTCCCAAAGTCCATTCCTATGCTAGGGATAAGTACTGATCCACTACAAGAGGTCCCATAGATTTCCAAGGTCTCCTCACTGACATCCACATTCAGGGGGTCTGGATCAGTCCCATGGTGGTTTCCCAGCTATCAGTCTGGGGACCAAGAGTTCTCCCTGGAAGGACCTTCCTCAGCACCTTGCACTCACCCTAACGACCCAGAATAAGAGCTACACCCTGGGGTGGAGAGATGGCTTAGCACTTGGAAGTGCTTGCATGTTAGCCGGCGGCCTGAGTTAAGATTCCCACATCCCACAGTGGGAGGAGAGAACCCCATTTTCTTCTATTTGTCAGGTCAGGAAGGGTTAGGAACTTGTCCTAATAATTTACAGACTCTAGCACGGAAAACAAAATGACCAGGAAGTCCGTGCCCTCTCCCGGCATCCATCAAACATTATTCCACCTTTGTTCATGTCTTGAGACTAATCAAGTTCATGCTCTGAAGCAAAGGCCAACTCCGCAAAGTCATATGTCGAACAGCAGTCCCCAGTGCCATGCCACACACCGACTCTGTCCTGCCTACTGCCTGTGTTAATAAGTGGCTTCCTCTTCAGTAGAAACATATTTTCTAATACCAGTGAACACTAAGGCCTGGGGGATGTGGACGGCCATACTCTTCCTGTTGGCCCAATCGACAGCACCCCAGCACCAAGGACAGTCAGGGTAACGGTGTTTGTGTGGCAACACCATGCCAGCAGAGAGTTAAAGGCTTTGCCTCCCTCCCTTCATCCTCACAGCAGCTCGGCAGTGTGGACACTATTGTGTTATGTCACCGGTGGAAGATACTGAGGCCATTACAGGTTGTTGGTGACCTGGGCAGACATGTCTAGCTCTGAAGTTCACATTCTTGAGACTGCCACTCAAATACTTGGACTACTCCATTCCCAGGCCACCCCTGCCTGTGATCAGGAGCCTCTGACCCAGGGACTTGCCTGAGTCGCCTTCCTGGCTTTCTCTTTTTTTTAAACCACCTGCCCCCCACCCCATCCACCCTCCACTCCCCAGGCAGGGTGGGGATGTCAACTGGAGCTCTTCAAAGTCCACCACATCATCCTGGGCTGGGCCGAGGCCCTCCCCCACGTGTCCAAGCCAAGAGTACATCCCTTCAAGTGGGATGGGCTTAGTCCCTTCTTACACCAGGAAAAAAT